GAGGGGGATGAGTGAGTGCTTATCAGTGTAAGTGTATGTGTGTGCGTGTCCATAGTTCAGCTGAGACAGTGTCCTTCGCCCTATAAATAAACAGTCTTCCAGCCAACCCAGGTGGCCTTGCAAATATGACATCCATTATTAATTGAAGTCATGTTTAGTCCACATAACGGTTTCAGTGAACCATGCACTGCCCAAAGACATTCAGACTTGCTAAACCAAAACAAGGCAAAGCGTCAGATAAACCTACATAAGGTTACTCTACATTTTCACTTTGCTGTTTGAATGCTTTGCCTTGCAGTGTCACACCAAAGAGGATATTCAGTTTTAATAAGTTCCACCAGGCCTTTGCATGTAAGTCATCATCATGTTCAGTCATCTGATGAGAAAAATCAGCCATGGCATATTAGCTTAATTGTCAAACTCATGGTAAAAGCCCTCGTACGGCCCACTTTGATCTCAAGGGTGCAGAACCAGAAAAACTCCCCTTTGTGTCAGTGTGAACAGTACGACTCGTGCAGTTTTACTGCATGATGTAGAAATACTGCTGCAGTAATGAAAGAACATGTGCTCACTAGTATAAAAAACAAAAGGTTATGGTAGTGATTAAATTACAAAAAAGTAACTCACGTTATTTCACAAAAAAAGTGTTTTTATTTTAATCAGAATATATAACAAAAACAAAATCCCCCACAAAAAATTACATTTTCTATGTTTTAAGTGTTATTGTTTATCTATTACTTAATTGTTTTAGTGTAGTATGAATGGCAGTGGGGGATTCTTTTATACAAACTGTAAAAGAGAAAATACACTATCAATTCAGAATCTCGTGTCCAACATCACATATTCCAAGGTTGTCCAGTGGGCCAGATTAGAGTCTCTGCTGGGCCGATTGTGGCCCTCCGGCCATAGGTTTGACACTCCTGCCCTAGAACATGCTGTCCAAACATCTTTCTTTTTTCGCTGTCTTACAGCTGCTAACATTTCAGCTTAGGTAAAATTACAGTTGATGACATAATAATGTTGAACTGTCTTAGCAGTTCCGTTAGTAAAGCCATGAAATCAGCTCTGCCTGAGAGTCAGGCATCATCCATACAT